ATCGAATCATCGCAGATATTTTTGTGTTGGGCTGGTCCAAGCAGGGCGATGACGTACCAGGGAGGTGTGCATCAATCAAGCATTGACCCTCAAGTCTGGGTCACTTTTCCATTGTTCAAACCGCTCAACATATAATTCAAGCTGTTTATATGTGAATTTAATCTTTTAATTTTTCCTAGAGGTTTTTAGCATTAACTCTTCTTGTCTCTCAACACATAACACTTTGTTTTAACAGCACCTCCTTCCATTTTACTACAGCAATGACAAATAGTATCACAGTATTACATTCTTTAGTAGTAAAACCTTAACCCATGTATTTTTTATTTATTAAGATTTTCAACCTCTTTGAGCTTTCCAATATTTTTTTTTTTCTCTTTCACTACTTAGTGATTGCAAATATTCTCTTGTCAATTTATACACTGGGATAGTTAAGGTATCATGGACAAGCCTGTGTTCATTGGTTTACTCCAAGAACACTTTGAACTTTTTACTTATGAATAGTTTAAAGCAGCAAACAGTTTTCAGTATGTCACAGTTGCTGAGGTTTTTGGTATAGCCAATAAGTATGCTAAAATGAAGGTCAGTATAATTTAAATATGAACAAATTGCTACAATAATGCACATATTTATCTCTCCTACTTGAACACACAAGAGAAACAGTAACATTGTTAAAAGCAGCATTTGATGAGGAAGAGAAGAAAAAAATCCTTTTTTTTTTATATACTAGAGAAATAAAAAAAAAGTTATCTCTTTGTTCCTCTACACAACTGTGATTTGCCTAAATATGTAATCTTTATTTAAATAAAGATTGCCATGAGACAAATGTAATAATTTTTTTTTCTTCAGGCATTCGATAAATCCCCTATGATCAAACTGAACAAAGATTTTTACTTCCAAAAGCTAGTCTTAGACAAGATCCATTCTCAATTTCTTATTAAAAAAGAAATTATGATTAATGTTAATTATTTCAGAGTGCACATAACTATTATTATTCATGCTTAGTAAATGCAACCTACCAACAAAATTGGAAATACTTTCTTTACCACCTGTATTGTCAGCTATTGATGGTAAGCCCTTCAACTGGCTGTATATCAAGATAATCTGAAAGCCTAAATGATTCTCTATGATGATTTTTATAGTTATTCTGATTTCAGTCTCTTAAGTAATATAATCTTAAAATGATTATGCATATGCACTTGGTGTGTGTGTAGGGGGGTGCTGTTCTTGTTCCAAACAAAATCAGGCCATATAACCAGTTTTTTTTTTTTTTCTTGGGCTGAGAATTTTCCAGCACCATCCCTTGTTAGATACATTTGTGTGTATAACTTTTATATTGTCATTCACACTAGGACCATAACTTCAAGAAACTAATTTGATCTGTGAAATTAGATCCCACTCCCAGTTTTAATGCAATTAGTTCAATTACCCAAATAGGAATTGTACATGTGAACAAAAAAAATCATCAGGACCTAATATTTTTTGTTTGAAATTGTTATTGACTATAAAGAAACTGTTCTTGAAAAAAATACTAACATTCAGTGTTTAGCTAATACTTAGGTACCTCCATCAGATTGCTAAAAAAAGAGCATAGCATGATAAAAAAGACGCCAAATTTGACGAAAACAAAATTTTATCATCTAAATGTTTGTGTTATTATTAAGGGGAATGATCAAAGTTTATTTTAATTATTTTTAAAAATTTTTCCTTCTAAAAGAACATTCTGAATTTTGATTTAAAAATCCATGTTTCTCTTTGTATCACCGGAACTAGTAAAATAACATAGACAATTTTTAGCACATTTTTTTTTTTGTATGACACATTAATTTGGAAAATCTTGCCAAAATAGAAATAATTGTCGGATGTTAATGAAACTTTCAGAAACTATTCACAGATGATCGAAATTGTTTTTTTTTTTTTTTTTTTTTTTTTTTTTTTTTTTTTTTATTAAAGTCATGGCAGAAATATTTTTTTTATATTTATTACCCCCCATAACTAATTTTATAAAAACTCTAGAAATTCAATTGAGTCCACTTTTGTAATTGCAATAGTTAAAAGTACAAGGCTTTGAGGAATGCAAATCATGTTTTTTTTTTTTAATTGGACATAACCTAAAAATCTCCCCCCCCACCTAAAAATCAGCTCTGAATTGTAACATACGAAACTCAATAAAACGAAGATATTATTTAATTTCAAATACTTTTATTTGCTTTTAGTTGTTTTTATGAATATGGAAAATATTTTCTGAAAGCAAAAAATTTTTTCGATGAAAAATGAATTTTTAATACAATTATTTGTTATTGCTTTAATTATAGATTTTTACATTTAAGTTGTTAAAATATTATAAATTACCTAAAAGCCGCATCCACTTTCGTAAGTGTCCTTATGAGATAGATCTTTTTTTAGCACGTTGTAAATTGTATCGTTTTGACTAACCAGAAGACCTGCAGTAATTAAGAAATGTAATTTTGTGTTTATAATCGGGCCGTAATTATAAAGTATGGAAGACCAACCAGAATACTATTAAGTTGCGTTATTTGAGTTAAGCATTGTTCTCCGCTGTTAAGGCCTTTACTTTTGCAAAACACGTGTGGAGAAGTTAATTTGATTTTTCAATTTCAACTGAGAAGGGTACCTACAAGTATCAGTATCATCTTATGAAATTTATATGATCTTATTTTTATATTAATCTCAGTTATGACATTTTTCCATAAATGAAATATCAAAATTAATAATAAAATGAATGGAAATACAAATAATACAGTAAAATGTAGCAAATGTACATAAAATTATAGTATTTTATGTACACTTCTGATAAAATTTCATAAAGGTACCTATAAATTAATTAGATACCTTTCTTATAAAATTTAATCTCACTCTTAACAGGCTTATTTTAATTTCTTCATAATATATTTTCCATTAAGCATTGTAAACGTAAAGGTGAAAGCTAAGTACAAAAAACAAAAAAATTAGAGCGCTGAAAGTTTTCCTTAAAATTATGAGGTAAGTAATTTGTTCACTTAAATCTAAATAATTTCACTTTTCTCCTTCCACAGAACAAATTATCCCCACGTAATCCATCAATATGTCATTCATCACCTGTCAAGTGATGCAAAAGGTTATGACCTGCTTTGTTTTTTCAAATTATATCTTTTCGGTGCAGAAGCTAAGCTAAGTTAAGCTTGGTTGAAAATATTTTAAATAAACATAATTTCTGATTTTCTTGAAAAAATGATAATTGATTTTTAAAATAATTTCAAACTGAGATTTTAATTTTTTTTTTTTTTTTTTCTAAAATGGAAAAAAAAATGGTTGCCAGGATCAATTATCTGTCAATTATGCTGACTCAAAAAAAAACAAGATATTTAACGAAAATTTCAGACATGCTAGAAACGATTAAAGAATGTAAAAAAAAAAAATACCCCCAAAATACTTTGATCTTTCCTCTTAATAATAACATAAACATTTAGACAATAAAATTTTGTTTTTGTCAAGTTTGGCATCTTTTTCATCATGCTATGCTATTTTTTTTAGCAATCTCACGGAGGTACCTACTAATACTGGTTGGTCTATTACTTATTAGTCCTGGATATGATGATAAACTACATCCTGCAGCAAGAGCCCTGAACCTGGAGATTGAAGGCTATCAGGAGTGTGGAACCATCTCTTAATTGCTGCTGTTCACAGGTCCAAGTTGGTAGCAATGGGCAAATAGCAAGCCCCCAAACAAGTTAGGGCAATGGGCAAATAGCAAGCCCCCAAACAAAAACAAAACACTATGAAAGTATAAAAATACATTTTCATAGTAAAAATATCAGCAATAGATTTTTATACAAAAAAAATAAATGACTAACAATACAATTTTAAAGCAAAATGACAAACAATACATTTTATCTGTAGACATATTGTATACAAAATATTTAAATTTCAGCATTAAATAATCCATAGAGGTTGATGTGCCACTAAACAAAACCAACAAACCAATCCATTAATATTTTCTTGAATTTGCAAGTGGTATAGTGTTATCCTGATTGAGTTTACAAATCTTTATAAATATTTACATTCATCTTACCTCTTCTATTTCCTTTAAAGTTCTAATTTATTCTCCAGCCCTCTGCTATACTCTTTTATAAGAGACATATCAGACCAAAAACAGAATAATGCTGCTATATCTGGGCTGGAGCTGCCCAGTCCTCACTTGACTGTCTTCAAAATTGCCTACTGCAATTCCTTACTCACAGACAAAACATTTTGAACTTCTCACTGCTCTATCAATATTTTGATAGCATGAGTTATGATGAGCTACATTCGTTAGTCCCACTATCCATAACTTTTACAACTGGCACCTTGCCACATGCACAAGTGTGTACCATCTCCATTCCTTTTGTATTCTATTAGTAAGAAGTTACATTTGGACAGCTTCTTCCCAAGAACTACTGCTTTGTGGAACAAACTCCTGACAGGATATTTTCTCAATCACTACAATCTTCTCGTTAAGCTTAGGGTTAACTGTTATCTTTCTCACATAATCCCATGAGCTTCAATTTTTGCCTTTTCTTATGTTCATACAACACCACACATAAACCCTCTGTCTTGAGTGGTTCTTGGACCTTGTATTGGGTAAATATTAATATAATAAAAAAAAAAGTTCTCAGTAAAAAGGATATCTGTATACTTTTAGATCTCATCTAAAACAATATAAAAATAAGTATAAAAAAAGAAACTAATATTAATGCATTAGTTAAATGTAGGCATTTTTTCCTGTTTGCAAATGTCCTCTTTCAATCAATTCTTCTCCAAAGTGTAGGTACGTTGATCCTTGTTTTTGTTACCTAGGAAACGGCTATCCTTAGTTTATAATCTTGAACTCATCCACACATTTTGCCAAATAGCCTTTTTCTTCAAAATTTCATTTCTCTCAAACTTTATTTTATATTTTGTCTTTCCACAGGAACCTATTGAAATGATATCTGTGACAATTCCTGCTTAGAGCAGCTACTAAAATGTCAGAAATTAAGGAACCAAAAGTTTCATATGATGCCTGCTTTCAGTCTGCAGATGAGAAAGAATTGCCTATAAAAGGAAATGGCAAATCAAGTTCAGATCTGAAAACCTCCACACCCAGCAGTATGTCACAAGACACCACTGAAGTTGACAAAAAGCCAAATCTTTTAACCACGGGAAAAGATAATGAGGTAGTAAATGCCACTTTGCCCAAAACATCAGCACTATCTTCTGAAACAGTGACCCAAGAGTCTATCAGGAACACCGGTTCTGAGGTATTGCCTGGTGCCACTACAGCAGTAATCGACCCAGAGACAGTGGTCACTCGTGTGAGTGACGATGTACCGATAAACTCACTTTCTGACCCTCCTTGCACTGTTTCTTTAACCAATGAAAACCCCTCTTCACCACCCAGTGCTCAGGTGGTGGATTCTGTAACCAACACAATGGTTGTAGACACCATCAGTTCAGAGGCTGGTGCCACACCTACAACTGCTATGGTTGGACAAATGACTGTACTTGATTCTACAGAGTCTGCTGCTAGTGGCACATCTATGGTCCTGAGTCAAATTCCTGTAGAAGCAGGAGGACATTCAGTAGACACGAAACCATCTAAAGTTACCACTATAGATAATGTGACAGCAAAACCTGCAGATAATATTGCTGCCCATTCCTCTAATGACAACACAAACATTATCAACAACACAACTACTACCACCACCACCACTACAACAGCAACAACAACAAACAATAACAATAATACAAATAAGAGCTGTCCAACTTCAGCTAATGGTACTGTGGCCTCAAGTGCCATACCTAATCATAGTGGAAGTAGTGATGGGAGTTCCCCAACTGCTCGAATCTCTTCTCCTGCCACTGGAGCTGCTGCCACTATCACAACAAGTACTACAGCCTCACCCAGTGGTACACCACCCCTCAACAACAGTGGTAGTAGCTGTGGGGTAGGCAATACTAACAATGGTAGTACTCCCAGCAGTGGTGGCACTCATTCACCACCTAACCCTCAGCATGTGGTTCTTGTGCACATTCAACTTGGTGAAATTTTTGCTGTCAGAGTCGGAGACCAAGTTCAACATATTCGAGGTAAGTGCCTTTTACAGTGATAATGTTTGTTTTTCAATAGCATCCCTTCTGCAGTAAAATTCATAGTTTCTAGATTGACTTTTGCATTGACAAGAATATAACAATTTTTGTTTTAATACTTGGAAATGTAAGTTAAGTTTCTTACACTGTCAGTCTTGTGTGTGTATGTACATATAATCTCAATCATGTTTTGTCATTCAACTGATAATGTCTTTCTTTTTTTTTCTTTTTTCTTTTTTTTTTTTTCCCAATTTTGTTATTGGTCCTGACCTGGTATCTCAGTTACTTTCCATACCACCATAATGTAGCTTCCTTGTGCCTTTTCGATAAATACTTTCCTTTATGGTACCTAAACTTTATGAATTTAAGCACAGTACTAGATTGGCAACAGTCTCATCATTTTACAGTTGAATTGGTTAGATGTAACTGTAAGTTCCTTGCTAACAGTTTTTCTTGTATTTCTCACTTGTGGAACTCTTTTTTGGTTTCTTGCTTCCCAGGCAACTTTGATCTTAAATGCAATCATTATCTATGTATTTGAAATTCCTGTTCTTTTATTGTTCTCTCTTCTTAATAGTGTTTTTTTTTTTTCTCATATTCTCTAACACTCAGTAACCCCCTTGCATCTTAATGGCTCTTTTGCCTTGTTTGAGGTAAAATGATTAAAAAAAATGGATCAAAATTGTGAATAAACTGTCCAAAGTGAGTTGTGCTCAAGTGCTTTTGATCATCTCAGTCATTATCAAGAACTGGGTGTTATCAGTATAGTAGACAAGTTCTTGATAATGACTCAGATGGTCAAAAGTACTTGAACAGAACAAAATTTTAGTTTATCCAAAATTTTTATCTCAATGTATAAAGTTTTATTCAAAGATTGAAAAATATAATACCTTGTCATTTGAATTAACAAAACTTGTTTGGATTAATTTTTGCTGTTCAATTTTTTTTCTCTTGGTTGCTTTCACAATGAGATTCAACTTCTGATTTTGCTCTCAACAGAAATTTAAAAAAAAAAACAATCAAATGATTACTTCTTGAATAATGTATTTAATAACTTACAAAGGCTATTAAATTCAAGTTGTCAAAAGGTAATAGTTGAATTTAAATAAATGGCAGTTTAAAAAATAAAACTGACACATCACACTTGATTTTGAATATCAGTATATTTTAAAAATTCATTTGTTCAGATAATAGCACCCCTCATGTTGATACATTTTGTCTCCTCCATTCTACAGCCTTTTTCACATATATAATTCATGAAGAAAATGAAAGATGGTCACTAATATATCAATCAGATCAGTTAATCTCACCAACAACAGATATATACACTTGAAAAAATTTTGTAAAATAACTGAAGCAAAATGTGGTAGCACAATTCTTGATCTACTGAGAAGAGAAAATCTTTTATCTTAGAGGTTTTTTGTTTCATACTCTGTAGGTTATTATTCAAGTTTATATTTTTACACTAAAATTATGCTGATGAAATTGTTGATATGTGAGCAATCTATCGAATTAAATGCATATCTATCTATCCTTATTAAAAATATTGATAACTTGATTTGTAGCTATCAAGTTTTGTTATACAAACAAATGCAACTTAATTTTTTATTCATAACTCATTATTTAGGTATCTCCATATAGATAAATCATATTTTCCACATTAATGAGCTCCTTGTTATTCTATAACTTTCATCAGCAATCACCCATTAACTTTTCTGCTCTTTCAATTTTTATTCTACATGCAACAGTTTTTTTTTTTTTTGTTTTTTTTTTTATTGATTCTCAGATCTTCTGTGTGAATATTGTTTTCCATTCTCATCTTCATCTCTTAATGATTGTACACAAATTTTATATTAGGTTAATATCTTAAGCTGAAGACCATTTGCTGCCTTTGAAACCTTTATTGGCAAGTTTTGTAGAATATGAAGGAGCATTGGTTTGTCTATATAGTCTAGCATAAAACTTTGTGGTTGACTTGTACCACTCAAAAATATCTTCAAGAAATTTTCCACATCATTGAATTTGATATAATTTTATTATCAACAATATTAGCCCAAAATATTACCCTACTTCTAATCTGCCGTTTCCTAACACATGATAGTTGATTCTTTCTGTGAAGAACCCAACCTCTATCCCCGTATCTGGTCCAATATAGCTCTCCATTTATCAATAAAAAAAAAAATCAGTTTTTGTACTACTTTATGCAATATTTTAAGTATTTAAAGGTGGTTTCTTTCTTGCCTTTAGTCAACTTTCTTAATATTTTGTATTTCTTTGTTTACTTTTTGGAACACATGCCTCATACACTATGTATATTATTCGGATTCCTTGTTTTGACCATTGTATGCTCCGGTTGAACACTATGCATGTTGAACTGGACCCTTTATTTTACTCGCTGGGGTAGACTGTTCTAGTTCCACGTCAGTTATCAGTTATCTCCTGTTAATTCCCCTCTCCAAGTTCTCCACTACCTTACCTGGTTACCTGGTAGTTCTCCACTACCTTAACTCACACTCTTTAGGTTCTGTCACTGGATCTAACTAACACCTTTATCCACTGTGCCTTGTGCTTGGTCGGCTCAGAAGAATTTTGTGGCCTAGAATATGTGTTGATTCCTTAAATTTACGAATTTTCCAATGATGTTCTTTGTCTATGATTTCAACCTGATCCAATAAAGGGTGGTGATCTCCCTTTTCTCTTCATATGTGGTCAGCCATGCCTGATTTTTCCACTTCCCCTCGTGTTACAGCTTTCTAGTCTTTGAGGTTTTACCTTAAGAGGGCGGCCTGTCTCCCCTTTATATTTCTTTCCGCAGTTACACGGGATGGCATACACACAGTCTTTAGTCATGTTTTCCTCTTGGGTGGGGGTCTTGAGGACAATAGTCCAAATAATGTAAATAGTGTACATAATACCTCATCTCAGAAATATAGACAGATATCCACCTTTCATGTTTTTAATTTTCTTTTTGTGACATTCTTAAAACCAGTTTTTTTTTGGGGGGTTTTTTTTGGTTTTTTTTTTTTTTTAGTTATTTTTCTTCTTGCCAGTGTCTTCAATATCTTTTTGATTTTTATCTTATGACTCATGAAAATCTTTATAATACAAAAGTTAAAATATTTACTATATGATAACCCCTTCTTGAGTTGCAAAATAAAATCGCATTCATAAGATATAAGTATTTCTCAGTATTTTCTCCTTTTAAGCTGAAATTCACATGGTATATTTATCATATAGGTATATCCTGAAAATTTTACCAACACAGATTAATACTAATTTTGGGAAAACATTGACTTACATAATAAAAAGTTAAGATTAATTTACAATCTAGTGTGGCAGAGGGAGACTTGGTAAAGATTGAAAAAAATATACAAAGTAAAAACATATATTGCAATATTATGTGAATAAATTTATAAAAATTATATATTTGAAATTTGGGAAACTTTTCTGGATCTGTAAACTTTAATTTTATGTTTATATTTTAGGAAATTTAATGAAATTATGATTGTAAGAGTAAAACGTTATGAACATTATAAAGCGGGAAAATAATTTACTTAAATTTTACAAAGTCAAAACTTTTTATCCTTGCAATACTTAACTCGAAAATTTCTAATTAAAGCAGTGTCGCTTTTCAACTGAATTATCTTGTGAAAGTGCTGAAAATATTACTTCTGAGTTGTTCCCCTTGATGCCAACAAAATTTTGCTTTTCAACTGAATAAAGATAATTTCTTAGCTATTTTTATAAATTTTTCTTGAAAGTGATTTACTATCTTAGAATTAGCTAAACTCCTAATAAAATAGACTTTTTCTCTTCATGCAAAGATTTCAATTTCTCTTGTTTGTATATGTCATGAAAATAACCCCTTCCAAAATTTTCTTTTAAATTCTTAGTTTACACTTTTTCATGACCTCAAAAAGATGCAATCCCTCTAGCTTGGAATAAAGACATACATTTTCAGTTTTAAAAAATTTCTTAATGTGTGTATTTATTCCAAAAAGAAAAATACTTACTGTTCTTGAATTTTTGAATTTTTACCCTGATTTCAAAATACAAATGTAATGGATAAGTATTATACATTTTAAATAACAATTCAAAATTATGTAATGTCATCTTAGATATAAAATCCTAATTTTTTTCTTACATCTTTGTATAACCCCTCCACTCTATTACATTAATGACAGTTCTACTTAAAAGTGCTAGAAATATTAAATCAAAATTTTGTATAAAATAAACTGTTTGCATTTTCACATTTAATAAACCATAATATCTATCCTGCACAATCTTAATTATTTTCAATATTATCATTATTATCTTATGACTTAAAAAAATAAGATTTTGTAAAAATATTTTTAAGGTGTGTGTCTTATAACATTCCACTATTTTATTTTGTCATTTTGCGTAGACATAATGTAATCTTAACTTGGTTATGTTCATTCTGAGGCTAGTACTTAAGTAATATAATAGCTGGGTGTGGACCCATTGTTCCTGTCACTAGCACTACATGCTGTATGTCTTTTCCTAGTAGCCTAAGCATCAAGATTCCTTGGTCATGACATCAGATGTAACACTATGGCCAGAAGCATTGGTCAGTTATGCTAGTCATTGGTCTAGCAGAAAAACTTTTCCACTCCTGTTTAGATAAGTTTTGATTAAGTCTCAAACTCGGTGTTGAAACATCATTAGCCCAAACAGGGACACGTGTCAATCAAGTTGACAGATTTCTGAGACTGATCAATTTTTGAATAATGACAAACTATTAATCTAATCTTAACAAAACTTTATCAAGGTATATTTGAGCTTATTTTTACAGAAGTGTTTCAAACTAGTGACTTCTTTTCTCCAGTTTTAATGCTTGACAGCAACACAGTTTTTTGAATGCCAAATTTCTAATTTAGAAGTATGATAATCAAAACAATAGTTTTATGTCTGCTTCCTTATTCTTTTCAAAAGTGAGGAGGGTAATCTAGCAGGGTTCTTCTCATTCATGGTTACTACCAGGATTCACCCCCTCTACTCA